CTTTCAGTAGTCGAACAATATATGTTAAAGAGCATAAATCATATAAAAACTAGTAAAATCAAAAAAACTTACGGGGTCTATTGTTTAATTCACGCAAACATATCTCCACTTTTAGCTGACATTCATTTTCTGCCTCAAATCCGCAAGCTAAATCAAAGGCACATGTCATTCCGTCGTATGATATTGGGCAATTCACCATGCAACCTTTTGATTTTATGGCAAGACTTGAGGGAGCTGCTTGAGGATTTAAAAGTGACACGTAAATCGAACTTAAACTGTTCAAACGTAAATAGATCACCTAGGAGGAGAACGAGACTTAACATGATATTGATTGAAAGAGTTGACAACTGAAACTGATATATGTATAATGAGATTCGTGCAGTTACGACCATTATCATAAGATTGGATACGGAATTTATCTTGGTGTTCTACACTGATATCTTAAATCTACCATAAAAACTTCAATCTACCCAAAAATAGCAGCTTTAATAACCGGTACTCCAAGAGTAAGTAGCGTATACTTGCATTTGTAGTCGGAGCAATGTGCGTAACGCACAGAAGGCAAAGTTTCCAACTCCATACAAAATATATTTTCTAAATCAGCATTAATCGTAGAGAATTTCCAGATCTAGCAGATTTCTTAATTAAGATCGGCTCAGATCATTATTATAGCCAGAATGAAGAAATTAATTTGCAGTGATTTCCCCCCATGGTGTTATTCTTTATCAATCGCACACTCTGCCTCATGCAGTGTGAGGTTATGGATTAGGATGGCGAGCTAAAAGGGCGTGTTGGTGTGAAAAGTGTAGTTGGATATGACAGATGTAGAAAAAATCTAATACAAATTCGAAAAAAACGTAAGTTTGTATGAAGTGCTTCTGCACTTGATTCTATTATTTTCAATTTCAGTTTTTCCTTTGTTACTTATCTAAATTTGTCTAAATTGTACTCATTACTCCAAGAGTAAGTAAATAAGGTGTAATGTATTTTTATACCAGGTACTCGAATAGGAACGAGAAGAAACGTGTGTTAGTGTTTTTTTCAAAATCTTACATTTTACATTTAAAATTTTTTCTACGTATGTCATCTACATCTACAACACTGTTCACGCTCTGTTAGGCAATCCCCAATTCCCTAGTGCCGCAAACTGCACGCAGCAGAGTGTGGAATGAGAGAATGTGAAAAAAATAAGCATAGCTGATGGACGGGGTGGGCGTAGCCACTGCAAATTAAATTCTTAATTTTGGCTATAATATCTTCTAGCTTGTCTGGACACAAAACTTTTTTTGAAACTTTTCTCTAGCTCTTATGGTCTCTGAGTACTAGGCGCTCATAAGGACGGACAGACAGACCTGTATATCGGCTATTGATACTGATCAAGAATATACATACATTTATATGTACTTTATGTGGTCGGAAACGTTTCCTTCTGTGCGTTACATATGTACATCCACTTTTGTGCACGTATACAATTTACTCTTCGCGTACCGGGTATAACAATAATGTACTTCTTCGAATTTAACTGCCGTTGGTTTGGCCTTATCTGTTTTTCTTTTCGTGTTTTTTCTTCCTCGGATTTTGCATTTGATTTTGGTGTTTATTGTGATTCCTCTCTTAATTCCGATTTTTCTGTTTTTCTCCTTCTGATTCTTCTGTTTTTCATACGGGTTTGCTTATTTTAATTGTTCCTTTTATATTTTTTTGGTTTTCTTCTTTTTTGTTCTCTTCTCTTCTGTCTCCGCTTTTTCTTCAGAAGTTGTTTATTCTTCTTCCTAATCTGGATTCGTTTCTTACGCTTCTGTTTCTTTTCCTGTATCTTTTGCTTTCTCAGCTGTTTCTTCTCTTTAATTGCTTTCTTCTTTTGTTCCTTCTTCTGTTTTCTATTTTTCTTTTGCATTCTTCTTTCACCTTTATTTTGCAAAATTGTATTCTTCTTTCGGCTTTTCGTCTTTTAATATTTTCATTTTTGATGTTCTTTTGAATTTTGGTTCTTCCCAAATGATC